TGGAGCTGAACTCTGCAGGACTGCGGCTCTCTAGGACCGAACTTGCCTACCACTGGGCTAGGCAAAAAAAGCCTGGATCCAGGGCAGTGCTCAAAGGCTTGGAATCAGATAAAAACCTGATTCCTTAACCCTTTGAGCGGTATGGTCCCACATGTGGGATTTTTATTTCTGTGCCCCTGGGAGTACGGTCCCACATATGGGATTTAGAATGTTCTGTGACGTCCCAAAACTGCCAAATTCAAACTGCTTTTGCACTTTGTCTGGTGCTGAGACGCGCCCTGCACTTGTCATATAATCGCAGTGTTTTTAACCACATAATGATTATTTTAGGTTTCAGACATGTAAATACACATAAGTACTAGTAAAACAATACATTTAGAGTTTGTAAAATACACACGGATGTCTATGGAAGTAGCAATAACAATCCATTCAAATATAATTTGCCGACGTATTTTATTCATATCAGATACACATAGTGTAAGTAACTATAAAGTTTACTCTATTCTTCCTCCAGTTCACCAGCCACTTTCACAGGAGAAATTGATTCACGTGCTGTAAATCTGACTGACAGGACTCTCTAAACTGCACCGCGTACAAACATGGCGGCACCCATCTCACATTAAAGATCACGATCAAGCTTATTTATGACAGTTTTTAAACAACACAACACTCACTTACACATATTTGTGAATTGGAATATCAGATAGTTGATGACATGGTAAGCAAGTGTGTGAATATTTTGAATAAAAAAGGAAAAACTAAATAAAAGCGATCCATCTGTCATACAGTGTTTTTGTGGCTGTGGTGTGTCATGTGACAAGCATAACACATCGCCATGGAAACATAAGGTGAAACATTCTAAAATAACGGTCGCCTAAAAAAAACTCACTCTGGGGGGACAGCTAGAATATTTTAAACTCACCAGTGAAAAGGTTAAAAGGGATATGGACAGGCATCTAGGGATGATATTTAATAAGATAATAAGATCTACCTGTCTAAACCAATCTAAACTGGGAGCAGCAGGCAAATAGACACCCCTCCATAATGAGGGGAGCACTGCCAGACTCAAAAATGGTAGTCTAACAGGGCGGCAGAAAGAATAAAATCGACCTAATATAACTACACACAGGGCTCCTACACTCCATACATCAGTAAAAGGAGAGTGAGGGTCCCATACTGCTAGGTCTGATGAAGAAGTTTGTGGGAGCGGTGCCTTAGCATCACCCTTACTTTTGTGGGGAGCAATACTAGCTCAACCACATTGTACTTCTAATTCATGACCGGCGTTTTGTTTTGTTCTCTCTCCGCATTCGTCAATAATCATGCAACCCCGACGTCATACGTCATCCGCCGGAACTGCTTCAGTTTATGGCAGTCAGTGGAAGTGAGAGAAAAGTGTTTATTATGTTTGAAATATGGATATTTTTCTTACAAAAACAAATGGATTCGCTACAGGAGGCCTTTACTCACCTCCCGGAGCCGTGTGAGGCACGTTTTATTACGGATGCACGCACTTTATTTGACGACTTGTGGACTGTTCAACTGCAACACCCGTTGACTGTAATGACAGAGCTTGGAATAGCCAGGACAATTTTTAATATAACTCCGACTGGATTCGTCTGAAAGAAGAAAGTCATATACACCTAGGATGCCTCGAGGGTGAGTAAAGCACAAGCTAATTTTCATTTTTGGGTGAACTAACCCTTTAAGAGAAGATGTTTCTCCCATTGAGAGATAGCAAGCCAGTGTCTCTTCAATAGGAGGCATCCTCTCATATCCGTGTTCGCTCATCCCCTCAATATTGGCATAGGTAGTATGCTGGAATCTGTGGATGTGTGAAGAAAATAGATTCTTCCAAGCCTTCTCGAATCCCCACATGGAGATCAGGAAGGAATGGAAGGCTCACTTGAGCTGGAGAGTTATGATCAGAGAGGTAACACTTGTCCAAACAGACCCGAACAGTTTCTTTCTTGACCCGCCTCCACGGCAAGCCTCGCCGTGGCACGTTCCATAACCTCCAATAGCTCAGCATATGCAGGGCAGGAGGGCTGAGAGGACTCAGTCTTAACTTCTTTGTCCTCATCAGCAATCTCATGCTCTTCCTTGCCAGAAGCCAGCAGAGCACTAGCCGCTGGATCAGAGAATGTGAGAGAGATTTCTCACATCCTCTGAGCTGACGAGCGGGAAAGAGAAAGATCCCTCTTTAGCTCATCAGCCAGGTCTACCTGAGAACCCCACAACCTCATTCTCCTCTGTGCCTCATCAGCGGCGGGTCCTAAGCCACTTAGAGAGGAGAGACAAACGAAAGCGGAGCTTTTTCATTGAAAAATGCTCACAATGAATGCAGATTGCCCCCTTGAGGACATCGCGTGCATGCTCTTCGCCCAAACATAAGACGCAAAGATTGTGTGTGTCATCAAGTGTCAAATAATGAGGACACGGATCCGCACACTTCATAAGCATCTTACTAGTGCTCGCCATAGTGTAGTAGAAAGAACAGCATTCTTACCAGAATGCACGGTTCAAACAAAACAGTCCCTGAAGACGAAGAGGATGACATGTTCTATCAGCACTCTTTTATACTGTGGTCATGCCGACAGTGATGTCATAGGCTGTCGCCGGCCAATGTTATTGTCGTGTTTAGACGTTTGCTTCAGACACCGGTCACCTGAGCATTCGCTAGAGGATGCAGTTTGAGTTCCCTCGGAAGGGAAATGTAACATAGCCCCCCATCTAAGGAGCAGATTCCAGACGCTTCCAAACCAAATGACAGAAAATACACAACAAAGGTCCAGGAGGGTGGTGGAGCAGAGGGATGGTGAGCCAAGCCCATGGAGTGGAAGAGGGCCTGGAGACTGTGGTGGAGCAAGAGACCAAGGTGGAGCAGGCGGAGCGGGTGGCCAGGGTGGAGCTGGAGACCAGGGCGGAACTGGAGACCAGGGCTGAGCCAGCAGATCAAGCAGCCAGGGTGGAACGAGAGACCACCACTATGGCGCAGGCAGGGCTGGAGACCACCACGGTGGTGCTGGCAGAGCTGGAGACCACCACGATGGATCAGGCGGAACTGCCACAGAAAGCACAAAGAGGTTAGTAACATCCTCTGTGTTCATAACAAAACAGGCAGAGTGTTCAGAAACAATCTCCATGGTTGTAACATGGCAGGCAGAGAGCTCAGAGATGATATCCATGTGTGGCAGTGCAAAAACTTTGGGCCACAACATCTTTTGGTTTACTTTCGTTTTCACTTTGAGTGATTGGGGCGGAGTTTTCAATTAACGGCGGAAGGATGGAGGATATAAAGGAGATGTGACGTACCTGAGAAAAATCCGTCATCAGAAAGTTTGCGTGCAAGGTTGCAGGTGCATGGTTGAGCGTTACTGGATTCCCAGGAGGAGTAGAAATACGGCCGCTCTGAGTATTGCTTCCTGTGAGTGCTGTTTGATCGTCGTGGAGTTTGACTAAACTTTAAGCGTGGCGCTTCAAGATCTTCTGTGTGGGTGGGATATTTCAACAACAAGCTTGCCTGTTCATCCTCCTGTCCCGGTGTCTGACGACGACCCGCTACACTCTTCAGTTTCCTTCACAATTGCAAACCAGGTCAGTAGCCTACATGTACGCCGCTGCCATTTCACACATTACTACACACATACCTACTCGCATTCGATTCCCATCCGCACCTTCTGTGTGATTTTTATTTTCATAATTATGCAAATGTTACTTTTGCTCTTTAAGACTGTTGTTATTGTTTCTTAAATATGAAATTTTTTTATTTAATGTTCCTGGTTTCTCTCTCTTTCTATGGTCAATTTATGAATGAACGTGGACGTGAAACTGCCATTGTGGAAAATAATAGAATGACGCGTTTTCTTCACGTATCTCAATTTCACGTGTGAAGTGAAATAAAGTTTTGAACTGTTTCTTTTTTTTCAAAAAATAACCTTTTTCAAACAAGATTTTTTCTCATGGACATTATGGAATAAATTTCCCTTCTGAATTATTCATTGGAGATTCATTTTAATTGTCAGGGTTAAAACCTGACTGGCGCCCGAATATTTGACTTAATAGAGTTTATTTATGCTAGGGCGGCCACCACCATTACACATGGTCATGACAGGACAGGCAGAGAGTTCAGAGACGACCTCTGTGGTCGTAACAAGGCAGGCAGAGGATTTAGAGATGTCCTCCATGGCCGTGACAGGACAGGCAGAGAGCACAGGGATGACAGCCACCTACTCGGGAGGATCTGTAGCGGTCACTGCCACATCGTGATGTTCAGTAGCGATGTTCAGTAGGTCGCCGCTGTCTCTGAGAATTCTGTGGTGGATGCCAGTGCCTCAGGAGGTTCTGTAGTGGTTGCCACCACTTTGGAGAATACTGCAGCGGTTGCTGCTACCTCAGGAGGTTCCGTAGCGGTCGCCACCACTTCGGAAGATTCTGCAGTGGCCGCCACTACCTTGGGAAAAGTGTATATGGCCCAGACACACAAAGTGGCGACTGCCATCACAGGAAGTGCCGTGAACAAAGGAATGACCTCTGGGACAGGTAGCGCTGTGGCCGCTGGGCTTGAGAGCGCTGAGGTCTTGGAGCCTGAGAGCGCTGAGGGTGACAGGCTTGAGGGCACTTAGGGTGCTGTCCTTGAGGGCACTGAACTAGGGATGTCGGCTGCCCGCGCCGACATCAGCGGTGGATCTGGTACGCTGGACACCAATCTCATCCACCCTAAGACAGGTGCAGTGTCTTGTATTGTACTGACTGAAAGTGTCTGTGGAGGACCAGGCTCCACGGGTGTTGGGACCCAAAAAACGTTTAGGGGACAGATCCTCCTCCACTAGTCCAGTAGCATGACATCGTCCAATTGTGCGAGATGACAAGAAGCTAAAAACTCCTCCACATATTCTTCAATGGGATGGCCATTTTGAAAAGTCGAGCAGAGTGCACTCACCGGGTCCTGATAAAGTCCAGCTAGATCCATGATTATGGTCAGTTGTCCTGTAATGTGAGGGAAATGGGAGAAAGCAGGCTGAGGTGTGGATCCAGATGCAGGGTCTTTAATGGCAAAACAAGGAAACAAACAACAAAGAACAGGAAACAAAACCATGAGCAAACAACTGACAAGGCACAAGAGAAACACAAGGGCTATTTATATAGAGGAGAACAAAAGGAACCAATGAGTTGCTATGGGAACTAACAAGGAGTGGGTGTGGTCCAATGAGTAGCTATGGCAACTAATGAGTGTAACTATGGGGACAAACAAGGCACACAGCAGACAGGGGCAGAACACACACAGGGAAATATGTAACATTCAACTGTTTGGACTCTCATTCTGATGGCACCCTTTCACTGCAGAGGATCCATTGGTAAGCAAGTGATGTAATGCAAAATTTCTTCAAATCTGTTCTGATGAAGAAACTCATCTACATCTTGAATGGCCTGAGAGAGAATAATTGTTGAGCAAATTTTCATTTTTGGTGAACTATTCCTTTAAGGCCTGGTTTCACAGACAGGGCTTAGGTTAAGCCAGGATTTGGCCATAGTTCAATTAGGACATTTAAGTAGCTTTTATAAATGTGTCTTAGATAAAAACACTTCTGATGTGTATCTTGAGACAAATCAGTGGAACTGACAGATTTTAAGATCAGTCAGTGCAAGTTTCTTCCAGTTAAAACAGCCCAGACATGCATTATAGTCTAACATATTTACCCTGTCTGTGAAACCGGGGTAAATATGTTAAACATAAAATGATATTAAGTTAACTTCAACCAAAGCTGAAAGCTCCTTCTAACATGAAAATGTAGTAAAGTAAAAAGAAAATGTACACAAATACAAGACTATTTTTAACAGATTTGCTATACAATTATTATAAAGTATGTAAATACATTTATATGGTCTACTCATATTATTATAAGCCGGGCTTAAAATGAAACACTAATAATTGTATACAATATGTGACAGGGAATCTCTGCTCCATCTCTCTATCTATCAAGGTATCCTTGGCCTTAAAAAGCCTGAAGACCTCTGGCCTAAACATAAAACATGAAAAATGAGCTCTGTAGGCTGTGTAATTTCTTAAATAAAAGCACAGTGCTTGGAACATGCCAAGCATTTCTCATGCGCGATGTATTTCACGTGCTTCACAATACTCACTCCATGCTCTGACCTTGGGCCGGTCATATGGTGTGCAGTAGTTAATTTTTAGTGAATCCACTAGAAAACTTGTGACTTGTGGAAGAGTCATATACAGTATATATGTCTGAGTCCTCATCCTAACCCTGACCTCACAACTGTTCTTTATATTTTGTTGGCTCTTGTTAGTTTTTATGAATTAACATTTCATATATGAGTGTCCTCAGTGCTTTACTTGAAGAACACAAAATGTAAAACTGTAAAAATATAGAAACTGCAAAGTTAGAGAGATTATTTTAAAAGGGCAGCTTCCCAAGTTTCTAACTGTTAACAATTAGAAAGTATAATAATCAGTTACAATAAGTTATATAACAGGTTTTATAAGTTTAATTGATTATAAATATTTTGTGGTTATTTTATTTACCAAAACAATTACAATGGAAAATGATTGCGAAAAAAATTACTTTTTTATAGAGTCCTACAGTTGGACTACAGTGAAGCTATGCATATATATGCCAGTAAATATAGATTTTTGCCAAAAAATATAATTAATATAATTCTTTATATTTTTGCCTTATGTCATAAAGTCAATATATATACACATATAGGAAGTGACTTGGATGAGGGCATTAAACATTTACACTTAAACATACCATAATTTATATAACTCGTTCGAAAACAGTGATGAATAGAAGCAAACTATTTTACATTTCATCCTGACTTGACCCAAACCAAAAAGGGAACAGTTCTCCACTTTTGCCCTTTCACTGGCTATATGAAGGTGAGTCAGGAAGCCAGTGTTGGTCTGAATCTTAAGCAGCTGACCCTAATACTCCGAACACATATGGAGCAGGGTCATCCATGTACATCTGGCTCCACTGCCGGGTGCCAAGAGCCAAGGACAGCCAGCAAACATGAAGGGCGACAATCAAGGGTGCACTTTTGGAAACGACATCCCACCCAGTGCCACCTGGGATACAAGGAGCTGTGACGGCCTCTATTTCTGTCTTAAAAGATGACTCTGTTCTACAGTCACACATCCATCTGTTTGATTAATGTGTTGTTATAGCCTGATGCTACAGAGAATTCACTGTGGTGGTGTTGACTTCCTAAATCAATCTGTGTTTTAGAGTGAATCGGTTCCTAGCGAAATGTAAATGAATCAATGACAAAAAACAGATATTTGTTGCATTCTTTAATGAATCAGTTTTTTTTAAACAAATCAGCTGAGAAATGATTCAGTGACTCACTCATAAAGATATTCATGTTTCATTGCTGTAGATTTGTTGTGATGTAGAGTTATTATTATAATTTTTTATATATATTTATTTATTCTTTTTGTGTTTGTTTAGCAATGA